TTCTCTTCCATGTTTTTGTTTTTATATTTCTAAAACAAAAGCATTTTATACAAACATGATTTAAAATTCAATAAATTAAAAATAAAACAAAATAAATTTTAAAAAACATAAAATATAAAACACACAACAATATCTAACGACCCCTTAAAAATCTTAAACTTTTATTGAAAGAATCTTAAAGTGCATTGAAAATAAAAGGCAAGGAAAGTATATTTTACTGAAAAATAAATGCAATTTTCCCCTAAACAACCCTTTAAATGAACAAGCAGGAAACTATTTGGAGAGAAAAGAAAGTAAAATGAAAGAAATGAAAATTCTAGAAAAAAATAGAAAAATGCTATGAAAGTCTCCCCAAATGGCTTACCATTCCCTCCTATTTATAAGCAAATGCGAGGTGGTTCATCCAATCAAAATGCAAAAAAAATTCCAGCTAAGTTGCCACATCTTCTAGATCCTTCCAACTCATCTGTCTTGCTTTTGTAGCTTTCTTATATGCTTCTCTTTACTTCACTTTACTTCAAGCTTTCTTCATTTGATCTTGTGAGCTCTAAAATTTCAAAATTATGTCTAATGAGAAGCCTTCAAATAACCAACCAAGCAACTCCAATTATCCTTCTTTGAATGTCCAAAATGGCACCACAATCCTTTATTCAACTAGCAAGTACATCTAACAAGCTTGCTTGAATTTTGCTTCCAATAATTTTGGCATCAATTGTAATCAATTTCTTCTTCAATTTTCTGCCAAATACAGACCATTTAGTGGAAAATTTATGTATGAAAAATTATGAAAAATTCACAAGTCCAAATATGGCTTCAAACTGCACTAGTGCACTAGTCACCTTTCTAACACTTGCAAAACTACCACAAAGGTAACAATAACTAATGAATTAAAAATGACATTTTCAAATGAAAAATATGAGAATTAAAACTTGAAATAAAATTCAATTAAGCTTAAATAAGCTAAGGAAATCATAGAGAAAAAGGGTGAGGAAAACTTTCATAAGTGGCAATGTAGCACAAACACACTAGTTTTGACTTTTCATGGCTTTTTGCACCAAAAATCCTCCAAAAGGAGTCCAAAAGCTTCAAAATTCCTCATTTTCCATATTTTCACCTACACATTAAATATTTGTATATTTAGGAGTTTTTTTGCCAAAATTCACAAGGAACAAGCCAATATTCAAGAGAAATTGCACTAAATGAGATAAGAAAATATAAAAGTTTAGTGCTATCAAGCATCAACATAGGGAGATTGTGTCTAGCTTAAAAGTGACTAGATCATGTCATCATGCATATTTAGCTTCATAATCGAACCTATGGAACTAATGGTTGCAATTTTATTTACACAATTGTGTTAGCAAATAATCATAATCACATTTGCTTTTTTATTGGAATTACACTAAAAATCTAGTAATTGTATTAATGGAGTGCACTTTTTTTTTTTATATAGTAAGTAACCTTGCTTGGAACAAGGTGTTGAGTAAATAATGCAAAATGCTGAACTGGGACATAAAGCTATGATGCTTGCTAACAAGGTGCCTAGCACTCCAATTTAGTAATTGAACTACTCTATTAAGAGAAAAGTATTTTTAAGATCCAAGCTTCTCAATTTCCTATTTATTCATATTTAGATAGTATTCCAATGAAGATATCATATATGATATAAATTTGAAGTTTTAGCTCACAAAGCATCTGGATTTAAGGAAATTTGACACTTTCCCGTAATATGTTGTTCAAACATGGACAATGAACTCAAATTTTCTAGAAAATGCATCATTTAAGATGCATTTGAATGGACCTTTGAAGGAAATAAGGCATTTCCTCTTCAAACAATAATCAGGAAAGTTGAAAATAGTAATTATTTTATCCTTTAATTAATCTTCTTTTTCAATATCTTTCAAGGAAGGTTAATATAAGTAATTGTATTCATGAACTATATCAAATACAGAAAAAGTAGGATCAGCAGCACATTTCACAGAAAGCAAGATGATAAATACTAATCTAGCCAAAGTGGGAAAGAGATGCATATCATTATGGCCAGATTTCAGCCCCTATTCTTCATGAATTTTACAAGGTAACACAAGAAGAAAGTGGATATTTAGCAACCCTATTTTGCAACGACTAAAAATATCATTGCAAAATATTGTTTTATTTACAATGACTTTTTATAATAATTGCTTAATTGAACTTTTTAATATTTTATACAACACTAAATTTTATTGTTGTTAATTACTCTTCTATTCATAATGACAACAAAAAATTGTTGTGAAAACTTATTTTATTTGCAATGATTTTTCAATGCCGTTGCTTAAGTTGTTTTTTAATATTTTATTTAATGATAAAAATGGTTGCTATACTAGTTTTTGTCATGTTTGTAATGATTAAATATTATTGTTGCAAAATTTTATTTTATTTGCAACGATTTTTCAATATCGTTGCTTAAGTTTTTTTTTTGTGTTTTATACAATAACAAAAAAAGTTATTACAAAATTTTTATCATATTTGTAACAATAAAAAAGTATTGTTGCTGAAATATGTTTTATTTGCAATGATTTTTCAATATTAATGCTTAAGTAACTTTTTTATATTTTATACAACAACAAAAAAAGTTATTATGAAATTTTTATCATATTTGTAATGATAAAAATGTATTGTGGCAAAAACCTATTTTATTTGCAATGATTTTTCAATGTCGTTGCTTAATTTATTTTTTAAATATTTTTATACAATGACATAAAAGCTATTTCAAATATTTTTATCATATTTCTAATGATAAAAAATTATTGTTGCAAAATAGTATAACATCTGCAATGACATTTCATAATCATTACTTAATTGATTTTTTTTTAAAAAATATTTTATATAATGATAACTTTTATCATTGTGAATTCCTATTATATATATTCCTAGCACAAAAGAATTATTGTGATATTTAATTATATTTAGTGTTGTTACTAACTCAAATTTTCAATATGTTATATAACAAAAAATAATTTATTACAAATATTTAATCACGACATAAATAAATTCATTAAATGAGTTCTAAATAAGCATTGGTTTGGAGGAATGAAAAAAAAAATTAAAGTTTCACTAATAATGAATTGAAATAATATTTTATTGATCTCTCTCTCTTATATTTGTCTAAAATTTTTCAAATGGGAGCCTAGTTTTTTAGCATTAATTTTGATGTCATGTTTATGAAAAGATGCAAATTCTTGTCTCATCAAGTTGAATTTACTACGATAAAAATGATTGAGCAGGTAGCCTTTTAAAGGCCGAGACATGAAAAGTAGAACTGAGCATTATTTGGTGTAAAATGGCAAATGTTTGACGAATGAAAAATTTTAGTTTGGTTTCAAAGCTAATTTGAATTAATATTTCAGTTTTAATGTGGTTTCATAAAATTTTAAAATCAATCTAAATCTAAAATTAAATTATAGATAAATAATGTAGTAGTATTTATATTTATATTGTTATATCCTAGCCCAAATGGTAACTGGGCTAAACTATTACCACAATCTATTAATGTAGTTAAGGAATTAACTGCTAAAAGAAAAAGGGGTTGAAATATTTTAGGAGAGAAAACTTAGTCATTTTTGCTTAACGTGAAACAAAAAAAAAAAAAAACTTTCTCTTGCTTTCTTGCTTAGGGTTTGAGATTTTGGATGATTGAACTTGAGGTTAAAAATCGCAAACCACAGTTGGTTTAATCTTTTAAGGTAAGCGAAAGCCCTTTCATTATTTATTTGGAAGAATGTTTTATTTGTTGTTGAATTTTGAGATAAAAAGTTTGAGGAAAACTTAAAGATTCATATAACTCTCACATAATTTTTCATGATTGGTTGATGCTAATCTATTTGATTGGGTTTTTATTATTTAGTTAAGAGTTAAGCATGATTATAGACTAGCTTTAAGGCTGGTAACAAAATAACCCACTATTGTCGATTAAAGGAAGGAATATACATGCTGTGTAACAACAAGTTTTCTATGACAATGAGTTTGTATTAGTTTCTGTGTTAATAAATGGAACTTTATTGTAAGTATTATATACCATTGAAAAGCTTATTGAATTTATATTTCAAAAAAATAAATGAAAGTTGATTTCGAGTTTTTTTATAAAAAGCAGTCTAATTTTTACTTAAAAATGTATAGGCTGCTTGGCAATAGTAGTAGAGAGGAATTTAAAAAATTCTCTTAATTTTTATACAATGAATTACTAATTGAATCATATATATTTGAAAAGGTTATTAAGCCTATTTTCTAATGAAACACTCAGGAACTAAATTCTGAGTCTCCTATGAATAAATATATAATTTTTGTTAGAATATATATATGATGTCTGACAATAACATATGATATGAATTGTAAAAATTATTACAATTAATCTACAAAAAATCACAAGGTGGGTCATATATGATTAGAAAGTTTATTGAGTCTAGTTTCTAACACACTAAAAGGATCTTAATTTTAAGTTTTATGTAGTGAGATATGATTATTTCAGTGAAAGAAATGCAAACTATCAGCATTAGTTAGTTATTTTAGTATAAATAATCTCAAAAGGTATTGATTAATTTTTGATATATTGAAATGATTTTAAATAAGCAATTAATTATTTAAAAAAAATGATGAAATTAAAATAAAATAAGTAAAATTTTACACACTTTACTCGTTTCCAAACTTATATATATTTCTAAATAAGTGAATGTTTTATTTATTTATTTTCTGAGATCATAGTGTCTTGTTCTCGAGGCTTAATATATATAAATATTTTGTCTTATGTTATTTGTATAAGTTTTTTTATATATTAATATTTTTATTTAAAATATTCTCATGAGGTTAAGGGTATCAAAACTAAACTTTTATTTTATTTTTTAGATATTTTTCTAGTCGTATTTCATATGGAAGACAAAATGGGTATGCCCAATATTTTTTTAAGCCTAAGAAGGATTTGGCGGCCCACTAGAACTCCTTTGGACCAGACCAGTCAAAGCGGTACAATTGTCAATTCAAACTGCCTGATGCCTTCTAAAACCCTATCGAGACTCCGAGTTGATATATCATTGTATCTCAAATTAGGCTGCTCCTTAACTGAATCCAGAGACTGCAGGAGCTTAAGCAGCAGCCATGGGTACGCCATTTTCTTTAGCTTTTCATATCTAATATTCTTGATTTAATAGCTGGATAGCTCTTATTTTCTCTATTGTTTTTCGTTAATGGGAGGATTTAAATCTGAGATCTGTTTTTTCTGTTTATGTAGAGTGATGGGTTTTTCTCTGCTTGATTTATTTTCCTTTATTTGATTAAATCTATAAACTTATTGAAGGTTTGGTTCTGACTTATTATTAGTTTTTCATCTTTTGTTTTATATATTTTATTACTATATTTACCACTTTCAAAAATTAGATGCTAAGTGGTGGAAATGGGCTTTTAGTTGACTGGAAGTCTTTTAAAATGAAAAGGGTTATATTTGATTGCTTTTTTGTAAATATATTTAGATGGATCATTGTTTTGGCATTTTGGGTTCTGATTTGTGATGATTTTGTTTTTGCTGGGTCTTTTGGGGAAAGTATGGGCTTACAAGTACGTGTCAGGGCTATGGAGGAAGAAGCAATCTGATGTGATGAGGTTCTTGCAGAGGGTCAGGTGGTGGGAATACCGCCAGCACCCTTCCATTGTTCGAGTTAACTACCCAACTCGCCCTGACAAGGCTCGTCGCTTGGGTTAGAAAGCCAAGCAGGTAAGCTGATTCATTGTTTCTTTGATATTGCTTTCTTCCTCTGTATTTTTATGAGGTTTGGTATTTTATCTTTTAATTTTTGGCTTATTCTATTTGCTTTATTGCAGTTGTAACATATTTTAGTTATATGATTATCCTTTGGTCGGAAAAACTGCATTGCAAAAATGTTTATGGCCAGACTTATTGTAATTGTGATACTACTCATATGTTGCTAATATAGTTGAAATATACATTTTTTTAATTATATTTACAAATAGAATAATAAATTAAATGATGTTATGATTGGCAACAATAAAATTGTTATGAAAGGTATAAAGAAATTTTAACAGTATTCATGTAACAATAATATGAAAGGTATAAAGAAATTTCAAACAGTATTCATGTAACAATAATAGTTGTTATAATTAATTAAATTGGTTGTGTTAAAAAATTTATAACTATAAAATTTGTTGTTATAATTAAAAAAATTATTGCAAAAATAATTTTATCAACGACAATAACAGATATATAAAAGATTTTTCTATGATTACAATTGTTGTTAAAGTTATTTAGTGAAATGACAAAAATCATGATGCTAAATGTAATTAGCAACAATATATGATTATGTTGCCAAACATGTTTTTGTATTCGAAATTTATGATTGCTAAAATAAAATTAAAACAAAAACATTTAATCGTTATAAAATATTTTATGTAATCAAAATAATATTATTATGTAAGTTTTTGTAATCGAATTTTATGATTGCTAAAATTAAATTTATACAATGTTATTTTGTTGTTGCAAAATTTTATACAATGACATTTTATCATTTTGAAAAAATGGTTTATTTGGCAACAATTAAAAGTCGTTACAATTTTTATTTTTTTCAACAACACTATAAATTATTACATTAATTCTTTATTAAAAAGGTTAATAGCTATTTTTTTTTAAACAACACTATAAGTTATTGCATTAATTCTTTATTAACAAGGTTAATAGCAATGATCTCGTAACGATAAAAAATTATTTCAAAATAATTTTAGCAACAACAAATAATTATTTAGCAATGTTTTGGATTGTTGTAATATATCAATTTTCTTATAGTGCAAACATAATCAAATTAAGCGTAAATGTGACAAAAATTGTTCTTCACTTCATTAAATAATTAATGGCTAAACTAATTAAACTAACAATATATCAATGTTAGATAAAATAAGATAACTAAGCACTACAAAAAAAGTTATTTTTATCGACATTTATAAATGCCAGTAAAAGATTAAAAAAGTGATGATATTACTGTTACAAGAGTTTTTGTCTCGGTTAGGTGAGTGTTAATGAAAACTTTTCGACAGTCAAATCACCAATGCTAGAACTACACATGTACTTGCTAATATGATTTTTTTGGGTACTTTAAATTGCTGTTATAAGTAAACAACTTTTAAATATATTTTAAAATACTAGTTAAAGTCGAATTTTATTTAAGTTGTTTATATTATTGAGTGAGTTATATTGACACTTAAAATCATCCTTAAAAGTATTATTATTGTTTTTAAATAATTTTCATACTTCTAATCTTTGTAACCAATAAAATTAAAAAATAATGCATACCAATTAATGGAGAACTCAGGTCTGAGAAATGAAAGTCTGCAAGTCACTTTTGCAATTTCTGACAAAAGAACATTTTTAGATTATTTATTTCCCAAATTTTGCTTTCCTCATTACAGAATAATAATTAACTGACATGTGCATCACACTTGAAGTATTCAAGCATAGTTAAAATCAGACAGAGACCTTGCAAATTTCATCAGTAAAGTGATATTATTATAATTCATAAGTATTAACATCAGCAAAATTCAGTACCAATGTCAATGTCTACAAGCTACTAAGGACATCGGGTAACCATCAAAGGCAAATTGCAACCTGATACCAATCCCATTACAAATATCAAAACTATCAAAACATCAAAAAGTTATCAAAATACGAATTATCAACAATAATGCAATAGCATCATTCTCAAAGCTTCCATCTCTCTTTAGTTATTTGCACATGGTGCTTCCAATGAATTTTATACATTTGAACCCTACAATATAATACAATTTCTGGATTACTTCAATCATAAGGACCACCTTATATTAGTAAAGTAAGGGGGGTTTTTTGTTATTTTAGCCAATATTCTTCTACAAATGAATAGTAAGGCCTATAGAGCTGAACAGCTAAACAAGAGGGGTTTGACAACTGCTAGGAAAAATAATAACAGCATGAGTGTAGGTAATTTACTCAATATACTGCCAAGACGTGGTTTTAAATTTTAAGCCAGAACTATCGTTGAATCATAAACTTACAGGGTGAAGTCCACCTTGGTGTAGAAATTCGAGAGCAGCATGACAAAAGAAGCCAAACCTTTCTGCATCTTTTCTGCAACCATAAACACACCTGTCCAAAAGAATCTGCAAGCAACAATACACCAAAGGATTCTTGTGATTATAATTTCTTTTTTTAACAAGTGAAACATTGTAATTCTTAAAGGTGCTTTAGGAGTATGAAAATTACCCGTTTTCTGGCTCCAGAAAATAAACTGAAGGCCTTCCACTTTTCCAAACCAAACTTTAACTTCAGTGCCACCCGAAGAATAGCCTCTTTGGTAATGAATATCCTTCACCTATATCATAGAACATTCATTTAACAGATCTGAAATTATTAAAAAAACAAGTTTGAAAAAAGTAAAGAATGAATTGTTTTATATCTTTTTCGAATATTAAGATCCGAATGAATGAAATCGAGAATCTGATTATATGACAATAAACATCTTTTAAGTAGCATTCCCAAAATTTTCGTCATGTATAGCCCAAATAAAGATGAGGGCAGGTAAGCCTTATATGAAACTTTTGTTTTCTGGAAAACCTAATAAGAAAAGGTTATGCGACAATTTAGTACCGGTATCTTATTAAAGGAAAAATGCACTTCAGCCACCTCATGCAAGATAGATAACACCACACGCTAGCTTACAAACAGCATGCCTAGTAAGCAAGAATAAAAACAAAAAAAATCCATAATTTAAGGAAATTAAGGCAATCCTGTGAAAACAATTAAGATGAAAAATCTGGCTAAAGTGATGGCAATGAACTTTACATGGCTAAGGTTCAAGCAGTCATACTTTGGAAGAATGATGTCCACATTGTTGTTTAAATCTTGAAGAGCACGCGAGAGACTTGTAACGACATAACCCAGATCTCCAACCTGCAAAGTTATAAAAAGGAAATAATTGAGAAAAAGATGGAAAATGGAAAATCTTTTAGGTTTTTACTACATATTCGACCACAAACTGGAAATAATACAACACAGATGTCTATGATGTTCCATTTCTGTCTGAGGTTCAGCATCCTCTCCCCCAACTGTCTCATTTCCAAAACACTTTTCATTAGGAAAAGACATGTCTTTCGGGCCTTCTTTCAGCTTAAAGAATTTTCTCTTCATTAAGAGAAAGAATCTGAATGGACTCGTAAGCAAAGAAAAACTAGAAAAGAAACCTTGATATATATCAGGGCAATAAAAAAAGTTTTAAAAACCTAAACTCCCTAATGTCCAAAAGTTACCTTTGCAATGGGGACTATGTCAACAGCAATATGCGCAATGTTCATTGGTGGCTCTTGCACAATTCCTCGAAAAACAGATATTCCATAATCCATACCGTCTTTGTTGTCAAAAGTTCCAGCATCTTCCCTCTCAGAGAATACAAAGTCCATATTTGCATCCAATGGAACCTTGACTGCAGAGACACATAAAGTGAGTAAGTCTTTAATAGAAAGATTTAATGCAACAAAAGCCAAAATATAAAAGAAACGCCATATGTCACCTAAGGAGATGATATAAAGCAACAATTGATAAGTCATATATGCCTAAAACTTAGGCACAGATTGAATTCCAAATAATTTATTAGTCTGGATCTATAGAGGATAAAATGGTGAATGCAAACAGCAGATGACCCAAGAAGCAGTACAATTTTCTATTCACTAAAATTGACTATAAAGGATACTGATAGGTGAAATAACTCACAAACTTATTAGAGAGAATATTATTTTAAAAGCAGTTGATTATCACATTGATCCATGAAACCATACAGACAGAGACAATTAATGCATGCATCAGATACGAGCTCAGTCATTGCCAAAAAATTATGCATCAGAGAAAAACTTTTATCAAAAGCATTTGTTTGAAAACCATACTTTAGAAACTATTAAAGCAGTCAAAAGTGTACTTTTTGACCAAAGACATCTCTCGGTGAAAAGAAATCAATACAGGACAAGTCAATCCATGAAGACCAAAAGTTTGGTTCCCGAGTTAATAAGACAACCTAGTAAGGAAGAAAGACATGAAGCCCACAAGGGGAAATGATGTTCTTAATATCACATTGATTGTTCACATTGTGTCATGGTCCCTTACAAGTCAATGCACAAGATCTGCCAAAGAGATTTACCTCACATTATTCCGTTGATTTGATATATTTGTCATCTAAACCTACAAAACTTGCTTAATATATCTTCCTAAGATTGAACTACCTATTATGACATTTACAAAATTTTTAACTCAAACTAACTCTACGAAGACTATTTAGTACTTTACAAATTGTACAGTCATAATTTCAGATCTAACAAAACAAACAATTAAAAACAAACCCACAAAGTGCATTCGTATTTTTTAACTTAATTCTATAAATACCAAGTCACCTAAATGTTCATGTATTCCTCTCTCTCTCTCAATGACAAATAATTTTACTCATAAGCGACCACAACGCCGATCACAACATCCAAAACATTCAACTTTAAACTCTAATACACACGATCAAAACCAATGCCGTCCAAGTTAGAAGATTAGAAACTTAGAGAGAAAACTTTTGATTAGAGAAATACGAAATAAGAAAGAATGAGAGACATAGCAGCATACTAGTGACCCAGAAATCCAACAATATAGTCATAGACAACTAAATATATTACTACCATATGTGTTATAAAAGAGGATCTTGACTTCAAGCGAAAAGAGGCACACATGCTTATTTGCATTTGTATCCAAGTATATCCTCTTAGAAATTATTGTTTCCTCTTTGTTTGATACCATCACTATTTCTCCACCTATAGAAACCATCACAAGCTTAAAGTGCGATAAGTGATGATCAGTTAAGACAAAGAAAAAAATTGTATCATTTCCAGAAGGAGATTTGGCTTCAAAGTTTTTGTCATTATTAACACTAAGAAACAGTAGATTTCTATTAGGAGATTATGAGCTGGTAAGAAGCTCATAATTAAGGAGATCAAACCTTAAAGCCAAAGGGTAGAAAATAAGGACTTAACGATGTCCTTTAATAAAGGTACACAAATGTCATCCAATAACAACAAGGCGAAAAGAAATTGTGCGGACACTACATACACAAAAGTCCGCAAATAACCAATTTCATCTAGTATGAGTAACTAATTCATAATTAAGACATCATATGTGCAAACCAATCTATACGTTCAAATAATTTTTCAGAAGTAAGCTGCCTTTCAGAAATTATTCATAGTCACCACTCAACAACATACTAAGTTCAAGATTAGTTCACACATTATACCCAATAACAAATCACAAAAAAAATAATAAAATAAAATAAATTCAAAATGAAAATCAATAAATTAAAACCTACCTTAGATAGATTAGAATTGAGATTGAGCTTGACTGAACATCAAAATCAAGATAAGCTGTATCAAATAAAATTCAACCTCGATCGAAACAAAAAAAAATTGTTAGTCATTTCGGTCATCACAAAATCAGAATCAAAATGAATAGAAAGAGGAAGTACCTGTTTTGAAACGGCACTGATGAAGAAGATGACAATGATTGAGCTGAAACTAGAGAGGAAAAAATTAGGGGTTTTAAAAAATTAAGGAAAGATTCATTAGATTTTTGTCTCAAAACTGATTTGAAAAACAATAGATGAAAAAACATGATTTGCAGACAGTGATTAGCTGAAAATCGCAGAAATGCAGAGGCTTAGGAGAGAGTGATTCATATATACATAGCTACAAGCAGAGGAAATCGAAATTTCAGCTTGTTTGTAGCAGAGGAAATCGAAGAAATTGTAGCAGAGATTGATAGTGTTGATGGAGAGTGCTGAGAGCGAGAGAGATTAAAAATATATATAAAAAAAGAGAAATATGAAATATGAAATGAGAGAAAACAACTGAAAAAAAAATGACAGGTAAATTCGCATTTGTTCAGTTTTAGCATCTATATCATACTATCTATTCTGAAAGATTCCAACATGCATTTTAATATTTGGGATGTGAACTTTAATGGGATTTTGTTTTCCCGTGTACAAATACAATAGATCTCTCTCTTTCAGTCTCACTTAAGAGCTTCATGCAATCACATTTAGAGAAGAAACACCAGTACTTCTTGTATGGACATGATTGAAGGATTTATTCCTACTGAATTCACAAATGACATGCTCCTATATCGTCTGGAAGGACAACTGCAAGTAACACAGAATTTACATGATCAGCCTTCTTTCTTTCTTTCTTTCTTTTTTCTATAATTTATATTTTTGAAAATCATTCTCTAACCACAATAAAATGAAGAAAGATGAACCTCGACAAACTTACACTTGCATCTATTATTATTATTCTATCTCAACATGTCAACTAAATTTGGTTGGTAGATAAGATTGAAGACAAAAATCAGAAAAAAAAAAAATGCATATAGTTCACAAATTAAGAACATGTGATAGTACTTTGCATACTTAAATAAGTGTGGACAAGTCGATGATAAGTGACTAATTCCACGGCATCTCAAAAGCCTAAGATAACAAAACCATATGAAATCAAATCAAGTCAAATTCAATACTGCCTTATATACATTACAGTGTTATTATGACTCAAATATATATATATATATATATATTATTTGGTTACTAACAAGAACAAGAAAGTTACGGAGATAACCATTGAAAAGAACAAAAAATATTGCTTTTTCTAAAGAGTATTATCTCAGGAATATTTAATGTTATTTGTATGGAAAATGTTTAATCAGTTATCCGAGAAAAAGAAAATATTTTTAATATATATTTGGGATAATTGAAATATAATAATATATAATTAAAAAGCGATGAAGGTACCTTCAATATGGACACAAAATACATAGCTGTTCTGCCAATGGCCTGCAAGAAAATTATGAAGTTCAAATGAAAATTGTCTTGAAAGGTAGTTAGAGGCAGTCTATGTACTTTTCAATAATCTTAAACTATATACAAACAATTGTGTATCTTACTTTATTAATCCTTCTCCATGTTTTTCAAAAACTCTCTTTTGATATTTTTTAGCATGGAAACAACATCCTTCATATTTATTCTGTTTTCAGGTAAGTCAGATGAACAATCCAAAGCTAACGCCATGATGGACGATATACAATTCACTTTGACAACAAAATATTCATCCTCTTTATGCACTAACTGGAGTCCGCTACATCAATTATTCCATTAGATTGTGACATTTTCACCCAATGTCTCATACTCATTTCTCCAGCAAAAGATTCATCAGTGGGCCTCTTTCTTGTGAAAATTTCCATTAGTAGAATACAATAACTATAAACATCACTTTTAATAGAAATAATTCCTGCTGATCCATATTCTGCATTTTAAACATAATTGAATAATTAAAAGATATTATATCTTCATAATCATCAAAAAATATGCTTATGTTAGAATATGGAAAAAAATAATAATAAAACATCACCTGGTGCCATGTAGCCAATAGTGGCAAGTGTCATTGTTTGTTTCATAGAATCTTCTTCTCCCAACAATTTGGAAATGCCAAAATCTCCCACATGAGCAACCATGTCTTTGTCTAGTAAGACATTACTTGGTTTTAGGTCACAATGGATTATAGGTGTTGGATGTCCCAAATGGAGGTATTCTAATGCTGATGCAACATCCATCATTATGTTGATTCTTTGTAGGATATCCAAGAAATAATTGTAAGAATATAACCATTTCTCAAGGCTCCCATTAGGCATGAATTCAAGCACTAAGGCTTTGAAGTCAATAGTAGAACAACAACTAATGACCTTAACAAGATTGCGGTGAAAGATATTGCTCATCACTTCACATTCAATCTCAAAACTCCTAAATGCTCCATCTCTTTGCAAATTAAAAACTTTTATTGCAACATTTGTCCCATCTAAAAGTATTCCTTTGTATACAGAGCCAAAACTTCCTGAACCCAGTAAGTTGTTTTCACTAAATCCATTAGTCCCTTCCAATAGCTGATTATAGGAAATTCTTCTCCATTTCTCGACAGGAATTAAATCTTCAACAATCGCCAAATTCGTATTCCCCCGCTGCTTTTTTTTGTAGACAATTATGACTGCAATAACTATTATTATTGAAGCAAATGTTGGTAAAACATACCTCAAAGCATGTAGAGCGGTCTTCTTGAATTTCCGATGGATTTTATTTTTGCAAGGTGAGACTTGTAGTCTAGGTGAACCACAGAGTGCATAATTTTTCATGAATGATTTGGCCCGTGAAGTTTAAAAAGGGACCTCCACTTGGGATTTCCCCTTCCAATCTATTGAAAGACACATTAAAATAATTGAGATCATAAAGTCTTTCCAAAGACTTGGGAATGACTCCAGAGAGATTATTGTTAGATAAATCCAAACATTTCAAACTCATCAAGTCACCAAATGATTCAGGAATAGGACCTTGTAATATATTACTAGCTAGATTCAAAACCTGTAGATCATGAAGACTTCCAATTGTGGGCGGAATATCACTTGATAATAAATTCCTTGACAATTTCAAAGAGATAAGTACCTTCAAATTTCCAATGTCAAGTGGAAGTGAACCGCTAAGATTGTTTGATGACAAGTCTATTTCTAAAATATATTTAAGGCTCCAAAAAGTTAAAGGTATTGTTGAATGCAATTTGTTGGAGAACAAGTATAGATATCTCAGAGAAGTCAAATCACACAAACATGTCGGTAAAGGCCCATCAAGCTCATTATCACCTAATGATATTTTGTACAATCCCTTCAAACCACAAAGATCATATGGGATAGAGCCTTGTAACTTATTTCCATAAAGAAGCAAAAGTTGGAGATTTTTTAGCCTTCCTAATGTTGTTGGAATAGGTCCACTCAATTTATTAGAGGAAAGGTCTAACAATGTAACGTTGCTTAAGCTACCAATTTCCATGGGAATGCTGCCTCTAATTTTGCAATCTCTAATCAATAAATATTGAAGTGATGTAGAGAGATTTGAGATAGAAGTTGGAAGAATACCGTTCAATGCATTGGATGATAGGTCTAAATATCTTAGATGCTTGCAACTTTTCAAGGAATAGAAAAAATTCCACTCATGAGTTGAAGCTTTGGTGGTCAAATGATTAATATCAAGGCGCAATTTCTCGAGGAACCTCAAATTACCAAATGTGTTTGGTATAAGGCCATAGAATGAGTTTCCTTCTAATTCTAGGATTCTAAGCTTAGAAACATTGGAGATAGATTCAGGAATATTTCCACTAAGATTATTCGTCCATAAGTAAAGCTCCTCAAGATTTGAAGCAGAGCTCAAGTGCGGTAATTTACCTAAAACAAAAAATAAATAAATAAATTTGCATATTCCCATACAAGAAATAAATTAATTGTTTTGCTTTATTGTGTTTTTCATGAATCTATGATGCAAGCTGAAGTGAATGAAATGATTACATATACGAACATGAGTGTGGAGAAACATGAAGCCTTTAACAATTTTAAATATGAAACAACTTCAAGTTTATCTTGGTTGATGATCTGGAATATATATATATATATACAATTTATAAAATTTATTCATAGTTATAAAAATATATTAAAAGGTTCCATGCTTACGTACGTATAATAAAGTAAAAAAGAGGAAAAAGAAAAGTAAAAGAACAAACGGAAGATAGAAGAAATTTTGGTTGTGAGAATTTTATTTTCTTTAACTTATCTCAATTGCTTTAATGATAAAAAAGATTAAAGAAAATTTGGTTAATGAAATTGTTCCAAAAGGAAAAACAAATAAGATAAAAATTGAAGAAAATAAAAATATATATATTTAAATTAATTTGTTTGAGAAAAGAAAAATATGAAAGTGTAAATGTTTGGAAATAAAATTAGAATTTTTATCTATCCTATTTTAGAAAAAAAAAAAAAACCCTCAAGAGAAATGATAAAATTTCTCTCATTTTAGACGATATGGATAATTTAAATGAAAAAAACAAAGATTCGACAAAAAAGATTGTTAAAAGTAAATGCACTCACTTTAGTTTGAAAATCACTCTCTTACTTCCCTAAGGGTTGATAGAACCTTACGAGTGCTCTACTAGAGAAGGTTCATTTGAGGTTTGTTGGGGTAATATTGTATACATTTTACTATTACAATACAAAATTTAGTAATATGATGATAAAAAATGTGAAACTAATAAAAACTTTAAAATGATGCTTTTGATTACACAATTATTGCTTTTTATTTTGCAAAAGAACAATTACATTCCCTAATTTGATAACAAAAGAAACGTAAAAGTAGCACTATTTTTTATTGCATATAATAAAAATGGAGTATATCATTTGTAATTATTATAATATAATTAATTAATTATTATTTAAAATTATGTAATATCTATTAAAATTTTATATGAAATTCACATTTATAAATGATAACTCTTACATATTTTTTTATTATGATTGAATAATAATTATAATATTATAATATAAGAATTGTATGGGAAATGTACTCAACAAAAAATTAACATTTGACAAAAAGGTCGGTAACATTAAAACAATCTCCAAAAAAAGAATTGGAGTTGGAGGAAGAATTGGAAATTGACACGTGGTTGGACAAATCAAGAATTTTTTTTTTAATTTTGAATGTTGAATTTTTTAGGAATGGAGTACAACTAAAAAAATCATTAATACTATATTTTAAAATAATTTTTTAAGAGATTATTTGTTTGACATTTAGCATTATCTCAGTAGATACATTTGTCAATTGTTTTTAAGATTTCATTATTGCCATTTATTCACATTTGATTGGTTGGTTTTTGTTAATTTTATATAATTAATCATAAGTTTAGTCCTCAATTACCATATAGACTTTACTGATTTGTCTCAAAAGAATGGGATGACTAAAAAAATAAAATAGGCTAAATAAACATATGAGCCTTAATTTTTGTATTAGAAGAATGGACTTATTATATAATGTTAAAATAATTTTAATCGAATTTTTAATTTCCATATTTAAATTTATTTATTTATATATAATATAATAGTACTCAAATTAAAATCACCTTATCATTCAATAAAAATATTATACTTTAGAAGATTTAAATTTAATATTTTATTTTATTTTATTATAATATTACATACATGTTGTTAATAAATAATAAAATTATATTAATTTTAATAAAATATTACATGTTGTTAATAAATAGTAAATTTAGAACAAAACTAAAAAATAATTGTTCTAATGTCATTCGCTAATAATAGAAAATTACAAATTGATCAAGAAAGAATTAAATTAAAAATATTTTAGGGAATAAACACTAAACAGTTTTTAATTTGGTTTTATTAAAATGGAAAAACTCTTTCTTTCCTACTTCAAAATAATTACAATGCAGGCTTTAGTTATAATTTTTATGTAATTTTTGTTTTAGAATACAATTTTTACATGTAATTTTTTAATAATATTTTCATTTTTAGAATCTCTATCTCCTTCTATTCATTTTTCTTTCTTTCATTCTTTTCTCCTTGTTATTTGGTATTTTTTTTTTTCCAGTTTCAAATTTTTTAGCTAGGTTTACTTTTTATCATCTATATAAAAAAATTAAACAAATACGCACATACTATATCATCTTTTACTGTTTTCAATATAAAAAATATCACAATGCAACATTCATTTTAAATTAATGCAATGGGAAAGTGGATAATTGTCAAATAGTTCCATTTGATATACGCTAACTAATGATTAAAAGCTATATCAGTTCCTTCCTCTTGTCAAATTCTACTATGACTATATAACTAGCATATTTCATTATTTTGACAATTTATTAAGTGCTAATCAAACATATATGTATGAACCATATTTGATTGCAACATATGAACTTTTGATTATACCTATAGAATCTGATTACTCTTTTCTTTATAACTTCATTACAATAAAAATCAAATATATTCGTTTGAATCATGTTTGATTTATCCTCATAATGAATTTTTGAATTTTACAATCCTTTTTATATGTACTTAACAACTTTAATAAATTTAATGAAATCTATATAATTTAATTTTTATGAAACATTTCACATATAGCGAATAAAATTACTTGTGGCAAAGCATGGGATGCACACTAATAATAAATATAAAAGTAATGAAATACATTGTTACATTCTTTATCACACATAATATAAATTTTAAGTATTTGCAAATAAATAAATGTAAAATATAAAATATAATATTACTACTTTAAGTTAGATGTAACAATAAATTAAGTTGGTATTAAATAAATATGCTAATAACAAAGTACGTTAATATTACTTTTTATTACATTATAAAACAAATCAAGTAATTTTATCATATATAATTGCATCACAACTGTTGGGTACCTATCTTTTTTCCACATTGGCCAACTTTGTAGTCTTAGCTAATGGTGCACATGCTAATTAAGGGCATCAATCAACCATAAAACGTTTAATAAAAAATAAAAAATATTTTCCAAAAGATGGAAATTTTGATTTATAGGTTTGGTTTTCAAATTCCTTTTGAGTGTTTGTTTTGCTTTTCTGTAATGTAATTATTGGAAACAGTATTTGATTTTAATGAGATAAAAGAGGTCTGAAAAAACATTTCTCAAGCCTTTCAATGACACCTCATTTGTTTTAACAGTTTTCATAATTTTATGATTACTTGTTTTATAATCCTAAACTAAACTTTTTTCAAAACTAAAGTAAACAATTTCAAATACATACAAAAGCAATGAAATGTTTATAATGAGATTACCTGATAGACTATTGTTCGAGAGATTAATTATTTTCAAAGCAGAAATATTGAAGATGGCACATGCAATCAACCCACTTAAGCGTGTAGATAATGCACCTAGTATCTCCAATGAATTAAGATTTCCAATCTCCCATGGAATTTCGCCTGCAAAGAAACAACAACTTAGTATTATAAAACTATCCACTTTCTAAACATTCCAATGATATTGAGGTTATTTAAAATAGAATAAAAGTCAATTACACAAGAAATTCCTAATTTCTTCAATGTTTAAAATATGAAGTAATTATTATTTTTTTCAATATCAAAAGTTTGAGTCAAAATGAGAAAGCATAAAAAAATTAAAATGTGACTATTTTCGTGATGGCCATTCTATTAATTTTATTTATTTATTTTTTTTTTTTCAAGGAACAAATATAAATAGTACAAAATATCAATCAATTGAAATCTAAATAATCAAATGTCAAAGCTTACCTTCTATGTTATTGTAACTTAGATAAATCTCTTCGACTTTGGTTAAATTTCCTATACTTTTTGGAATGAGTCCACTGAACCTGTTAAAAGATAATGATAAATTTCGTAGATTGTTGCAATCACCAATATTTGATGGAATACGACCAGAAAACTCGTTGTCAAATACATAAAACACCTCAAGTTTGAGGAGAGAGTAACACATATTATCTGTAATACTGCCTGAGAGACTATTGCTATAGAGATAAATTTCTTTCAAAGAAGTAAGGTTAAAGATGGATGCTGGTATTCGACCAACTAGCCTCATATTTTTGGCAGAAAATATCTCCAAGCTTAGAAGATTTCCAATTTCCCAAGGGATTTCACCTGTTAAAATTACAGAAACCAAGTTGCAAGAGCTCAGTCAAGTAGCATGAAGCATTTTTTGCTTGACATCACGATTCATAATGAAACCATTTTCTTCAAATTTTATAAGATTATTAATTAAATTAGTTAATTAAATTTTCATTCTAAACATTATCTAAAAAGAGATTAAATACCAAAATTTTGAATCATAATGGGGAAAGCATACAAGAAACTTAAGTTCATTTGGTTGATTTTTTATTTGTCTTTTATTTTCTATTCATTTTTGAGTAAAATGTATCAATTATCCATAACTTTTGTATAATATTTCATTTTAATCCACAAATTTTAAAACGTAGTTTATATCCATAACCTTCTAAAAATGTTTCAAATTCATATATTTCATAAACCATGAATGAAAAATCACTGAAACATGCCATGTGACTGAAATTTCAACTCAAAAACCATAAGGATTCACCATTTTTTGCCATGTAACTAAAAAATATTTAATTTACAATATTTATTATGGTTAAGAGTTAAATTCATTTTTTTAATTTAAAAATGGATTATTTCCAAAAAAAAATCTAAATTAGTTTTCAAAAATTACAAAAACTTATTTTTTATCAAATTTTTTGTTTATTTGAAAAAATGGAAAGAAGGAAATATTAAAAAATAAAGAAAGAAAAGGGGAAAACAAAAAAGAGAAAAAAATAAAAGAAGGAAAAATGAAAAAGTAGTTTGGTTAACTAATTTAATAATGACATTTATCAGCCTATTAAATGTTTATTTCAAATTTTAAATGTTAGTTTTAGGAGGAAAATAGTTCATTTAAAAGTCAATTACACAAAAAATTCCTAATTTCTTCAATGTTTAAAATATGAAGGAATAATTAATTTTTTTCAATATCAAAAGTATGAGTCAAAATGAGAAAAGTATAAAAGAAAACCAAAATATGACTGTTTTCGTGTTGGCTATTCTATTAATTTTTATTTTTTAGTTATTTAGTTTTATTCTTTTTCTAATATAAATAGTAATAAATATCAATCAATTGAAATCTAAATAATCAAATGCAAAAGCTTACCTTCTACATCATTATCACCTAGATATATCTCCTCAAGTTTGGTTAAATTTCCTATACTTCTTGGAATGAATCCATTGAATCGATTAAAAGACAATACTAACTTTTTAAGATTGCTGCAAGCACCAATATTTGAGGGAATACTGCCAGAGACACTATTGTTATAGAGAGAAATTTCTTTCAAGGAAGAAAGGTTAAAAATGGAAGCTGGCATTGGACCAACAAGGCTCATATTTTGGGCAGCAAATATCTCCAAGCTCAAAAGATTTCCAATTTCAGAAGGGATCTCACCTGTGAACTAACAAAAAAATGCAAGACTAATAAATAAAAAATATAAATATATATATGGTAAGAGTTAAATTTATTTTTAATTAAAAATGGATATTTCCAAAAAAATACAAAAAAATTTTATTTTTTCAAATTTGTTGTTTATTTGAAACAATGGAAAAAGTAATATTCAATAAAGAAAGAAAGGGCAAAGAAAGAAAAGAAAGAAGGAAAAATAAAAAGTAGTTTGGTTAACTTTAATATGACATTTATTAGCCTTTAAATGTAATCAAATTTTAAATGTAAGTTTTAGGAGGATGAAGAATATTCTTTTATTATGAGATTATTAAATTAGATAATGAAACCATTTTTCAAATTTATAGATTATTATTAAATTAGTTAATTATATTTCATTCTAAATTATCTAAAAGAGATTAAATACCAAAATTTTGAATCATAATGGGGAAAATAAAAGAAACTTAAGTTCATTTGGTTGATTTTTTATTTGTCTTTTATTCTATTCATTTTTGAGTAAAATATCAATTATCCATAACTTTTGTATAATATTTCATTTTCCAAAATTTTAAAACGTATTTATATCCATAACCTTCTAAAAATGTTTCAAATTCATATATTTCATAAACCATGAATGAAAAATCACTGAAACATGCCATGTGACTGAAATTTCAACTCAAAAACCATAAGGATTCACCATTTTTTGCCATGTAACTAAAAAATATTTAATTTACAATATTTATTATGGTTAAGAGTTAAATTCATTTTTTTAATTTAAAAATGGATTATTTCCAAAAAAAAATCTAAATTAGTTTTCAAAAATTACAAAAACTTATTTTTTATCAAATTTTTGTTTATTTGAAAAAAATGGAAAAAGGAAATATTAAAAAATAAAGAAAGAAAAGGGGAAAACAAAAAGAGAAAAAATAAAAGAAGGAAAAATGAAAAAGTAGTTTGGTTAACTAATTTAATAATGACATTTATCAGCCTATTAAATGTTATTTCAAATTTTAAATGTAAGTTTTAGGAGGAAAATAGTTCATTTAAAAGTCAATTACACAAAAATTCCTAATTTCTTCAATGTTTAAAATATGAAGGAATAATTAATTTTTTTCAATATCAAAAGTATGAGTCAAAATGAGAAAAGTATAAAAGAAAACCAAAATATGACTATTTTCGTGTTGGCTCATTCTATTAATTTTTATTTTTAGTTATTTCTTTTTATTCTTTTTCTAATATAAATAGTAATAAATATCAATCAATTGAAATCTAAATAATCAAATGCAAAAGCTTACCTTCTACATCATTATCACCTAGATATATCTCCTCAAGTTTGGTTAAATTTCCTATACTTCTTGGAATGAATCCATTGAACCGATTAAAAGATAATGATAACTTTTGAAGATTGCTGCAAGCACCAATATTTGAGGGAATACTGCCAGAGACACTATTGTTATAGAGAGAAATTTCTTTCAAGGAAGAAAGGTTAAAAATGGAAGCTGGCATTGGACCAACAAGGCTCATATTTTGGGCAGCAAATATCTCCAAGCTCAAAAGATTTCCAATTTCAGAAGGGATCTCACCTGTGAAAATAACAGAAACCGAATTGCAAAAGCTGGGTCAAGCAGCACGAGGCATTTTTTTGCTTCCAATCACTATTCATTATGAAATCATTTTCTCCTAATTTTATGAGATTATTTATTAAATTAGATAATTAAATTCTCATTCTAAACATTATCTCAAAAGAGATTAAATACCAAAATTTTTAATCATAATGGGGAAAACATAAAAGAAACTTAAGTTCATTTGGTTGAATTTTTTCTATTTGTCCTTTACCTTCTTTTCATTTTTAAGCAAACTATACCAATTATATATAACTTTTGTGCAATATTTCATTGTCATCCACAAATTTTAAAATGTAGTTTATATCCATAACCTTCCAAAATTGTTTCAAAATCATATATTTCATCAACCATCAATGAAAAATCAATGAAACATGTAATGCGACAAATTTCAACTCAAAATTCAAAAGGATTCACCTTTTTATGCCATGTCACTAAAGAGTATTTAATTTACAATATTTTTTATGGTTAAGAGTTAAATTTATTTTTTAAATTTAAAAACTGAATATTTCCAAAAATTAAATTAATTTTTCAAAAAAATACAAAAAATTATTTTCAGCCAAGAAATTTTACCTAAGAAAATAACATGAGTTTCATGGTCACTGTTAATATTTAGGAGTTTTAACATGATATCAATAATTAAATTAATTTTAGCACTTACTTTCCAAATTATAAAAGTAATTCTTTTACAGTAATTTCAAATTATCAAATAAAGTTTATTTTGACAAAAACTTCAATGTTGATAAGAAAATAAATAAAACTAGTCATGTTTTAATTTAATAGGAAAATAATTAATTATAAATAAAGTAGCTAATTTAATAAATTATCAAATTATCAAAGGAAAATAATAATAAAAAAAAGCTTACCTTCCAATGTAAATACTTTTTTAAAATTATCAAATTATCAAATACTTTTTTTATTTTGTAAATGAATGTCTTAAAAATAGTTTTTAAAATTATTTTATATAAACATAAAAATATTAAATATAATTCAGTAGACATTTGAAAACATTATAAAATATTAGTAATGTTTATTATTATTATTTACTCTTCCACTTATTAAAATATAGTTTTTTAATCCAATATAATAATAATAATAATATATTTTAATTTTTATCTATTTAACTCACAAGAAAATATCATGCGAAAAAATAAATGTAAGTTCTAGGAAGAAAATAGTTCATTTAAAACTCAATTACACAAAAAATTCCTAATTTCTTCAATGTTTAAAATATAAAGGACTAATTAATTTTTTCAATACCAAAAGTTTGAGTCAAAATGAGAAAAGTATAAAGGAAAACCAAAATATGACTATTTCCGTGTGGGTCATTCTATTAATTTTTATTTTTTAGTTATTTCTTTTTATTCTTTTTCTAATATAAATAGTAATAAATATCAATCAATTGAAATCTAAATAATCAAATGCAAAAGCTTACCTTCTACATCATTATCACCTAGATATATCTCCTTAAGTTTGGTTAAATTCCCTATACTTCTTGGAATGTGTCCATTGAATCGATTAAAAGATAATGATAAAATTTGAAGATTGCTGCAGTTACCAATATTTGATGGAATGCAACCAAAAAATTCGTTGTAGGATATATGAAGTACCTCAAGTTTGAAAAAAGAGTAACATATATTATCCGGAATACTACCAGAGAGATTATTACTATAGAGATAAAATTCTTTCAAAGAAGTAAGGTTAAAGATGGAAGCTGGTATTGGACCAACTAGCCTCATATTTACGACAGAAAATATCTCCAAGCTTAGAAGATTTCCAACTTCCCAAGAGATTTCACTTGTGAACATAGAAAACAATTTGCAAGAGCTCGATCAAGTAGCAGAAAGTTTTTTTTGTTGGCATTACAATTCATAATGAAACCATTTCCTCCAAAATTTATGATATTATTGATTAAATTAATTAATTAAATTCTCATTCTAAACATTATTTCAAAAGAAGTTAAATACCAAAATTTTGAGAAATAAAACCGGAAAATAGAAAAGAAATCAAAGTTCATTTGGTTGATATTTTATTATTGGACTTTTAGTTTCTATTATTTTTTCGGTAAAATATACCAATCATGTATAACTTTTGTGCAATATTTCATTTTCATGTACAAATTTTAAAATGTCATTTTTAGATCCATAACCTCATAAAAGTATTTCAAATTCAGCCAAAAAATCAGATAGGTTTACTCTTTTTGCCATGTGAACATTCACATGGATATCTTGTGGCACTAAGATGGTAAATTTCGTCCTATTTGAAACAATTTTAAGGGATCGTAGATTCAAAATTTGAGCTTTAATGAAAATGAAATATTATATATACCAAAATCATGAATATATGATTAATTTACACTATTTTAGGATTTTTTTTTACTTTTCTCTAATACTTTTTGCAAAAACAAAAAAAATAGCAATAAAAAAATATATTATTATCAAGCAGAGCCTAAATAATAAAATATCCAAGAGATATCTTTAGGTTTATAAATTTACTTATCCCATTTGGATTATTTCCGTTGAATCAAATTGTAACCTAAGTTACTACAACTATCACTAGAAAACCCACCGCAACTAGACAATCAAGCCTGATCTTTTTCACAAGATTTATCTTGTTTACAATATTTACGTGCTTGGTTGTAACTGCTTTTTTGTTGTGTTGTGTTCTTCTCTCATTTTGTCCTCTCTTAAAACTCTTAATATTGTATCCCTCATTATCCTCCATTGAATAAAGGACAAAACTTATATGAAATTCGGTGAAGTTCGTAAAATTTTTTACTAGAAATGATTAAATAAAAACTAAAATTAAAAATCAAAACCAATAGACTAAAAAATCTTATTATATAAATCAAGTATACAAATTTTGAAATAATTTTAATATATAATTTTTAAATAGACATTTTTGTAAAAATATTAATAGAAATTTTTATCGTTGAATCAGCATCGATTAAATTTTAATCATAAACAATATTTTTAATAATTTTTTTACATATTATTGATCTTCACATCGAATTCTATCAATCTATCAATTTAAGTTTTTTATTAAAGTTTCTATTAAATCATTTTTAAGAAAAAAACCTTTAGAAATTTTACCTACATAGCTTCATATATATTTTGTTCTTGAATAAATTCCCTTGTCTTTCAAAAAAAAAAAAAGCAACGAAGCCTGATCTTAGGCTTTACTTGGTCATTAATGCAAAAAGTTTAGTTAAGTACAAAAGTAATATTCTTGAATAATTAATTAACAGATGTTTTAATTTCTGTTAATAGTTTAATATATGATTCTACTTTTATATAGAATAATAATAAATTACATTTTGAATGCTTATTTTATTTTACGTTTTTTCTCAGTTTTAATTAAATTAGGTGATACCCACACATTGTCTCGGATTAAAATTTTTTTGTTTTGTCATCCTTGTTCACTGAATTTTAGAAAAATGTTATCTGATTTTAAACAAAGCAAAAAAAGTAAAAGATTAAAAAATCTAAACGAGAGTGACACGTGAATATATAAATTAGCTTTTTATTCTCACAAAATATATTTTATAAAAAATAAAATTTTTATTTTATTTTTTACTAGCGAAACCCACCTAATATCAAGCTTTCAATAAAAAATCAGTGAATACACACATATATATATATATAATTAAATAGATAATATATATATATATATTTATATCATAGGATGGTATGGTGCAAAGTATCATAAATTCTATTTTGGTTCATCCCTTATTTCTATAAAAAAATTTGACTCAAATTTATTCGATATTGATTGTTTTGATAAATTAAATATTTTGCATTTACAATTTAAGAACGAACTGTTTTGATAAAAGAAAATTATCAAAGGGAAAAAAAAAAAAAAAACTTACCTGCCAAATTATTTCCACCCAAGTTTAGCATTCTGAGCCTTGTTAAATTTCCAATACTCCTTGGAATGGTGCCACTGAATCTGTTAAAGTCTAATGTTAAATTTTGAAGACACCTGCATTCATCTATGCTTGATGGAATTTGACCAGAAAACTCATTTGAGCCCAAGTAAAGTGCCTCAAGATTGGGAAGATGGCGACATATATCTTCAGGTAAACTGCCAGATAGATTGTTGAATGAAAGAGAAATCATATGTAGGGAGGAAATGTTATAAATAGCTGAAGGTACGGAGCCAGAAAGTTGATTAACTGCCAGACGAAGTATTGTTAGATTTCGAAGATCACTTATCTCGGGTGGAATGTGTCCTTGAACGAGATTGTACCTCAAATCCAAGATCTCCAAGTTGGAAATTTTAGCTAGTGACTGAGGAATTGTACCTGTTAAATTGTTGTTCCGGAGACTCAAGTATAATACTTTTTTTAATCTCCCAAACCATGAAGGAATTTCCCCACTAAGAAAATTGAAGCTTAAATCAATGAATGTCAGACGACTTAATTGCCCCAACTCTCTCGGTAAATGGCCATGGAAATTGTTATGACTCAAATCAAGAGATACTAAAAACGAGAGATTTCCCAATTGTGGAAGGACAGTTCCTGTGAGATTCATGTTGGGAAGATTTAATGCGCTGACTCTCCTATGCTTAGATGCGCAAGAGACACCAACCCAATTGCAAACAGAGGTAGTGATGGTCCAGTTGTTGGCTAAGATGTTGTGAGGATCAATGATTTGATGCTTAAATTCGAGAAGAGCATGTTGGTCTGTGGTAAGGTTCCTAACAATCATGGCGTAGCTAACCATGAAACAATGAATGAACACTAAAGCTAGCGAAAGAAAATGGAATATTCTCATGTTGATGGCTGTGGAAGGAAATCAAATCGATGAAATTGCAGGATGTATACGGAACTCTGATCAAAGCAATTCTTAAATAGGAATAAACTTGCCAATATGACTTAGACCTCAAGAGGAAAGTTCTGGGATGGTCTTGGTCTTCACAATTAATAAATGATTCAAGCTTTTGATTTTGGGCCCTCCAATCTTTTTTGATCTCCTTTTACAAGCATTGGTGAAGCTAATTTATCTTTTTGCATTCTTTCTTTTTCTTTTTCTCTTTTTTTTTTCTTTTAATTTTTTTGTCTTGTACACTTTTGAGGCCCATGACTCCACGTTTTACAAGAGAGAGTTGCAAAATAGTAATGGCTCTATTTTTTTTGTCAAAAAAAAGTAATTTATAGTTTTTTTTAAAACTTCTGAGTTAGTTATTGTACAAATCAAAGTAATTTAAATTTAATTAGTAAAATTACTTAAAATCAAAATGAAATAATAATAAAAATATGTAAGTAAAGATATTTATGTATTTTTATTTAAAAATTTATGATGAAAGAAAGTTTTTCCATTTCCAGATCAAAACAGGCTGCAAACTTTAAGGAGAATTTATACTAGATTTACATATCATTCACCAAAAGTAGTGCTAGTAGTGGGGTTCCTCGCTACTAGCGTTAAGTTTTCTCATAATTATGGCGTAGTTAACCATGAAATAGTCAATGAACATTAACGCTGGCGAAAGAAAATGGAATTTTCTCATGTCTATGGCTGTGATGGGATCTATGTATATCAAAACAGGTAACATAAAATATTGAAGAAATTGAGTCTGCATAAAGCATTGTTTAAATAGATTTCTATACACACCTACGAACTCGTCAACACTGAAGACAACTGAAATTATGATAGGACATTGAAGTCAAGACTTGGGGCCTTAGCATCTCTTGGTCTTCACCATGCTCTTCTACAATAAGCCAAGCTTTTATTTTGGACCTTTTTAATTTGTTGTTTTCATAAACGGGACAGGTAAGGTGCTAAGGCCTAGTTTAGTATTATCCTCGCGATTGAATAAAGTTTGAGTTAAACGAATGTGCTTAAAAGTATGATAAAAGAAGTGTCGTTAAAAATTTTAAGCATTTAGTGTTATCGGAAAAAAATTATTACGAGTAATTGAAATGTTTAATAATAATAACAATATTATTATTAATAAATATAAGAATAATACAGTAATGTTTTTCTTTCAAACACATTTTTTGATCATAAAAATATTTCCAAGAAATTTTTTGTTTGTATTTATAAATCAGTTTTTTAAATTGAAAAACTATATTTTTATTTAACATTAAAATTATTTCTAAAGTTTGAACGTAAAAATTATTTTCAACACAATAATAACCGAGGTCTAAATCTCTCCATATAAAGGCTATTCGTGCTGTACAAATTCAAAACCTCTTACTCTTTAAATAATAAAAGTTATCTTCATCTAAATACGAGTGTATATACAACCTTGTAAATTTAAATATATTTTACTCATCAAAATGAAATTTTGTTGTTTCTGATGAACCATTTCTTTTGTATTTGAGTTTTGTGTTTTCAGTACTATTTTAATTTTAAAATTATTATATTTTAATTCTGGCCTACTACATCCATCTCGACTCTTTTAGAATAAAATTTTTCAGTTCCTCCACAGTACATATTGGTCTTTTTTCTTTCTTGAATAAATAACATATGAGATTTTTAAATTTTAAGCCAAATATTATTTTGAATTTTATATATTTAAAAGTCACTTGTTAGCTCCCATTTTTCAATGTTGTAATCCATCTGTCAATAACATTGCTAACTCCATCGCTAAACATTTTGTCGGCAACACGTGTTTGCCGTGCAGTTGGTACATGTGAGCTGAAGAGTAAAAAAATTTCATTATCTGGATTTTTATTTTCCTTTCTTTCCTTTTTATTTTTCCTCTTTCTCTTTCTCTTCCTCTCTCTTCTCTTCCCTGTCTATCTAAGCGCTATCGGCTGCAATAGAGGACCCGATTTGGCCCAGTCGACGCTGCGACGACGAATGGAGTCAAACCATTCCTTTAACCATCGATCCAGCGAGGGATCTACTACACCTAATTTGTGAAGCCTGATCACTTCCCCATTCGGATCGGCAACTATAGGTCAATATGACGCCAACCGTTGGCACGATGTTGGGCGAGTTAATCTAGACCTTTGCAATCGACCACAGAGCCTAGACCTATAATAAAAAGAAGGGAAAGGAAGATAGAAGGAAAAAAAAAAAAAAAAACAAGAAATTGACTTTTATTTAAAAAAATTTAATATATTTTTCAAACATTATAATTAAAATAAATAAATTATAAAAATTTATATATTTAATAAGTTTCTTTTTTCAAATATAATCCGTCACCAAATATTATAATTTAAAATAAGCAAATTTCAAAAATTCTATTTATTAAGTTTTTTTAATTTTTTTAATATGATATAGATTATTAGTATAATTCATCAAATATTTAAATAAATATCAAAATTTTATAGTTTTAATAATTTAAAAATATTATATAAATTTTAAAATAAATAAATAATATATATGCTAATTTATATTTATTTACGACGTGTCAAACACAGCACCAATTATTACTTAAAAGTCAAACTCAAAGAAGTATTGATAAAAAGATCATTTCCTTATAACATTGAAAGTATAGAAACTATGCCTTTTAGAAATATATAGACAAACAAAATTTGGCTTAAAATTTAAAGGTGCTATTTATTTATTTGCAATTTCTTCTTGTCTTACAATACCAAAATAATTTATTAGTGATAAATCATATTACTTTCCATCCTTTCAATGGTTTTTTTCCTACCTCTTGGTTTTTTTTATGAACATAATTGTAACACACGATCTAATTCTATAAGCATTGAATGAATTTAATATTTTAGTGAGTAAATAGTATTCGTGATCTTAAATTTTGAAGCGTATATCGATTTGGTTTTTAAATTTCAAACATAATTTGTTAGTTTTTATGTGTCAAATAATACAACGAATTAGGTTTTTTTTTTTAATCAATTTATCAGTTAACTCATCGTTAGGTTTTTGATGTGATTTTAATTTAAAAAAAAGTAATCGATATAATTGATGTGATAGCTAAGAAGAAAAAAATAAGAAATAAGAAATAACCAATATAAAAAGAAAAGGAAAATAAATATAAGTACTGTTTTTTAAAAATTTCTTTTTATTTTTGAATTAAACAATTAACAAAAATAATTTTCCCCTTTTTTTATTTTTTGAACATAATATAAAATTTTAATATATTTTCAAATATTATAATTCAAATAAATAAATTTAAATTTTCTATTTTTAAGGAGTTTTTATTTTTCAAAAATATTATAATTAAGAATAATCAAATTTCAAAATTTTATAAAAATAAAAAGAAAATAAAAAATAAGTAGTTTTTTTAAAAAAATTTTCTTTTTATTTTTTAAATTAAACAATTAACAAAAATAATTTTTCCATTTTTTACTTTTTTAAAACATAATATAAAATTGTAATATATTTACAAATATTATAATTCAAATAAATAAGTTTAAATTTTCTATTTTTAAGGAGTTTTTATTTCAAAATATAATTTATATTTTATATTTTTTTAAAATATTATAATTCAGAATAAACGAATTTCAAAATTTTCTCTTAGAATAACTTTCATTTTAATTTTTATATAATATATTTTAATATATTTTATCAAAATTTGTAATTTAAAATAAATAAATTATAAAATTTTCTAATTTGAAGATTTTTTTGTTTTATTTTAATTTTCAAATATAATATATTTTTGTATTTTATCTAGTTTTATTATTTAAAATAAAAATTTTCAAAAATTTATTTTTAGTAAGTTTTTTGTTTTAATTTTTTGAAATGAAATATAGCTTTAATATATTTTATCAAAATTTATAGTTTGAAATAAATAGATTTTATATTTTCAGTAAGTTTTTGTTTTTAAATTTTTAAATATAATTTTTTATACATTTAATCTAGTTTTATAATTTAAAATATACAAAATAAATAAAAATTTTAAATTTAATAAATTAGATAATAAATTATAATGTAAAATAAATAAAATTAAAATTTTCTAATTTTAATATTTTTTGTTATTTTATTTTATATAATATAGATTTTTAAAATTACATTTAACCACAAAAGTTCATATAATTTTAGCATCTATGTGTTGACCATTTTTGTTGACACATGGTGCTAACTAATCTTTAAGGTCATATTTAATGATATTTTTTGTGGAATGACTATTTTGATACAACTTTGAAAGTTTAGGGATCAATAAGTGACATTTGAATGTATAGGGACCAAAATGATATACAATCCAAAGGTACTATTTACTATGTTTCAGTAGAAATAATTCCTATTTTTTTTCTTTGTATTATAAATATCATAACTTCTTACAAATACCCAAATATTTGAGTTTAAATATAGGATCTTTACTAAATTGATTTAAGTTGGATGCCTATTGTATAAACATATTATTGACAATTAATCAATTATAATTTAGTATTGGGTAGGGTTCATAAAAAAATCATATAAAGCCTACAAGTTTTAAGTGGTGAACTAGTGTATAATTCTTTTTTATGATTAACTAATTTCAATATTGCAGTAAAGAAAAATTGTATCTGAAATGCTACCCCTATCCTAAAATTCAATATGTTATGGATTTATGCATTATCCTTATTTGTTATCTCTTTGAGGATGAAAGTAAAAAATCGCCAATAAGTTATGTTGAAAGAGTATCATGATACATAAATATAAGAAGAATCATACCACTTATTGAAAATTAGATTTTGATTGAATTTTCATTTTAAAAATTTAAAATTAGTATCAAAACAACCCAAAGTATATATAACTTTTAAATCTAAAGGATAATACCTTAAATAAACCCTGAATTATTATTATTTTTTTTT